AAGCCGCTCCACATACCTCAAAGACTTGCTTTTTGCCTGGTGGAAAGAGTTTGAGGCAGAGAATCAAGAGACAGTTCTGTCACCTACCAGCAACCTGACCTTGGACAAGAAAGCCACTTAACCTCTCTCTACTTCAGCCTTTTCACTGGGGAAACAGGGAAATTAGCACTTGATGCAAACTTGCATGAATGTTATAAAACTAACGAGAACCACAAGATTTGGGGCCACAGAGGGGGCCTGCAGAGATTGTTGCTTCATTTTAGCAATGACAACCTCATGATTGGATCCGAGATAAGAAGATATCCAGAATGTTTCACAATTCAAAAACAATGCCAAGAGGTGACAAGTCCTTAAAGATCTGGAAAACCCTCACTGCTCAAGAGCTTTCTCTGGCACTTACCCTTAAACTTAGTCCTGACTGAGTATTCAGGGCCATGGTGCTATCATCCTTCCACAACCCAAATTCCTCTACAATGGTCTAACACATACTCCCCCCACTGCAAGGTTGGGGGTCAGTTCCTCTCAGGGAAGTCCTGGCTCTTAGAGCTTTTTTTGTTTAATATTTGAACCAAAATCAATCTCCTTGAGGCTTCCACCCATGTGTCTCACTGATACCACCTAGGCCACCCAGGCCAAGTCAGGAGGACCTTCACTCAACAGGCCTTCCATCAAGTGAGCAGTCAGCGTTCTCCTCACTGCCCTTCACCATCCCCCATCTCCTCAGGTTCCCTCTACGGCACGGGCTTCAGGCCCTGTCACCATCCTTCCTGGTCACATCTGAGTGTCCTTTTGCTGGTCTACAATCATCATAAAGGGCAGCACCCAGATCTTGTTCCATAAGAGTCCCACAACTGGCTCAATCACATATCTTCTCTGTTAATCACCAGCTACACGAATCAATCAAGTTACCCAGTTGGAGCCCAAAAGGTTTATAAAGATAATGGAATTCTTCAGGCATAGTCTCTGCTTTTATAATTTACTATATTCATCTAACTCATTTTAAATGGTAGACATAAGAAGATGCTTGCTCTCTGTAAGTTAGGTTCCAGCACCTTCCGTCATCTGGTAGGATTTGGTTACTGTTCTTCAGCATGAAGAACTACTATGATGGGACCTAGGGAGGACCAATGTGCTGAGAATACATGGAAGGAGAGGCCTTATTTCCACCAGGTACACTGAGAGCCCCCGTGCGGACAGAGAGGTTCTGGGTTTGTGGCGGCACAAATACTGCTAATGATGTGTGCTTTTAGCCTTTGCTTTATGAACAAGCGCGCCATGCAGATAAGAAATAGTTGGGGTCAGAACCGTTGTGCTTGGCTAGGGGTCTAGGAAAAACTGGTGGCAGGGTCCTTGGTGCGCTCAGCTGGGGAAGGGCACTGAAGTCCATGCAGGAAGCTCCGAGGGCTACCTGGGCAGGGCTCAGGCTGGGCTTTGGGAGACAGCACACAACCCTGCCCTCAAAAGGCTTTCAGTGTCCTATGCTTGTGAAACAAAAGTAGAGGGTCAGTGGCAGGGACTTCCCCAAGGGTTTGTAAGAGGTGTCATGAAAGATGCCTTTATTCTGGGCTCTTGGGTCCTGTCCTGTGGCTTCTGGCTGGATTTGGTCAAGGAGGAAGACGCAGAAGACTGCGAGAAGTGAGGAGAGTAAGGCCAGGGTGCTTCCCTGGGCTCTCTCATCATTCCTGCTGTTGAGAGGAACCCTCCCTCCTCATTCCGTTACACCCCTGGGATCTGCAACAGGCCTGGTGTTCTTCCTGCACCTCTACAGACAGACCCTGTGGAAACACTCCTCAGAGATCCAGTCTAAGTGTGCCATTTGATTCCCCTGGGACCCTGACTGACCTGGCTGACTTTCAATGGCACCTTCAAGCTAAAGAGATTTGAATCTAGCCATCTGTTACAAGGCCTGCCAAACTGTAAAATTCAACCACTTTCAGACATATTCTACAGAACTCTTAATATCTGCAATTGCAACTTTTTGGCATTCGGTCAAGCAACAGAGAACACCCTGGTAGTAACCAGTTACACACAGTGCCTTGGAGGAAAGAGAAAAAACATATTTTCTTATCATTGAACAGTATCTTCAAAAATAAAATATACACAATTAGCTTTAATTTCTGGAACAGAATGCTTAATTTGGACGGTTTATACAATGTACTTTTAAGGAATTACCAGTTACTAAGTAAGACAAAATATTATATATTACTGATTGTAAAATGACTTTAATAGAATACATTCTGATTTTAGAGATGTGGGGGAAAAATTTGCCTTTGAAAGAATGAAACACAGAGCATCCCACAAAATGATTAAGTTAGTCTGATACGTAATTTTTCCTATTGAAAAATGATTTTTTCTTGTAATGAACTTATGCTTAGTTTCTATTGAAAAGGTGTGACAGTCATTGATATTAGACATTAGACCCATTTTTTTTTTTTTTTTTTTAAAGGGATGAGGTTTTGCTATGTTGTCCAGGCTGGTCTCAAACTCCTAGGCTCAAGCAATCCTCCCACCTCAGCATCCCAAAGTGCTGGGATTACAGGCATCAGCCACTATGCCTGGTCTGACACTAGACTCTCTTAATTAGAAAGTAAGGGGCAGTTCCCCTCGGACTCTGCTTTGAACTTAACACATGTCACCCATTTACTCATCCACATTTGAGATGCTATCGTGATTTTTCTAATCTAGGCGTTTTCATGGTGCCCAGAGACTATCTTTCTATATTGGCGTCAGCACCACAGCAATAAGAACTTTTAGTGAAAGCGTACATGGGTGTTGCTGGGACAGAGCCTGGTCATACACTATCACCTGGTGCCCATTTACAATCCCATTCACTTAGGAAGTAACCTCAAAATATCAGGTGTCCAACAGGCTTATGGTTACTTCTCAAACTTCCTTCAAACTCACCACTCCTGAATGGGACATGGGTTTGAATCAACTGCTCAATTAAACTTGCAAATACTACTAATTTTGGCAAGGCTCCACCTCATTTACACCATTTACAAGGCAATCAACAGATGGGTGGGATCATGAAAATGTACAAAGTAGTAACAGAGAACTTGGTAATCAGTTTCTATGAGGTTGTTATTTTAAAAAGTCACTGACATTAGCTGGAAACAATGACATCTACAATAAGACATCTGTGAAATGAGCAAGTGTTCTTTCCCTAAAGGGAATCTTACCCCCCTCCCCTGTGTGTGCAGCTGAGTGGTGTGGAGGGCACATGCTGCCCCTTCTGAAGAAAGACCAAGCTACTGCCTGGTTGGGAGGGAAGGGGCGTGGCCACACATGCCTGATCTGTTGATTTTTTAAAAAAGGTTTTCATTTTTAAGTTGGAGTCTTGCTCTATTGCCCAGACTGGAGTACAGTGGCATGCTCATGGCCACTGCAGCCTCGATTTGCAGGGCTTAGGCCATGTTTCTGCCTCAGCCTTTTAAGTAGATGGAACTACAGGCGTGTACCACCATGCCTGGCTAATTTTTGTGTGTGTGTGATTTATTGTAGAGATGAGGTCTCACCAAGTTGCCCAGGCTGGTCTCAAAACCCTGGGCTCAGGCAATCCTCTTGCTTCTACCTCCCAAAGCATTGGGATTACAGGTGTGAGCCACCACTCCTGGTGTTGATCTGTTGTTTGAAGGAATCTCAGCACCACTCAGCATTTGTGGCTGAATCCTTTTTCAGTAGGAAGCTCAGTGGCATCCATGGGTGCTCTGGACTCATAAGCATTATTTTTCCACCATTGCTAATGTAACAGTATCATCCTCATTGATCACAACATGAGCTAATCAGTTCTTATTAGCTAACCATGTTAGAAAGAAGCTTATGGGAGGAAAAACAGAAAGAAGTGTGGCAAAGGAGATGAAATTTCTGACATTTTTGGGGAGCCCAGTGAGTTACCTGGGACTCTGAATCCCAGTATCCTCGTGATGAACAAAACACCATCACCTAACTAACTCACAGAATTACAAAAAATATACTTGGCCCACCACGGACTCTGTTTCTTTCCTGCTAATAGAAGTGCTCTGGATTCACAGACTCACCTCTGGAAATTAGGAGGGAATAGGCTACCTACAGTTTGGGACACTCAAACAAGTTGAGTATTCGGAAAAAATGTGGCAGAAATAGAGAAAGAAAAAGGATATAAGTAATAAAAGTATGTCTAAGTATGCAGAACCCTTGCTGAAGACACACTCAGATACTGTTGTTGACCTCAAAAAATAGTTCATGCTATGACAACAATGCTTTGAAATTTTAATTTTCCTTTGAAGTATTTCTTTAATTTGTTTTTTACAACTGCATTGATTTTACCTCTCATAAGTGAGGTGTATATGTGTATGCGTATATGTGTGCACTCAAGTATCTCCACATGCCTCTACGGAATAAAAAAATGTAACTTCATTTGAAGAAGCCACATCAGAAAGACCGCATCTAGCCATCACTGAAACTTAAAACTAAGGAAGGACTCGACAAGTCAAAGGAGAATCCAGATGAACTGTGACACCTGTAATATTAATAGAGCCCACACAACAAAAAGAGTTGATGGATGTTAACAGAAGAGGCATTTATCGTAACATGTTGCTAAAAGCCAGAACTGAGGTAGCTGCCTTATTAGAGTTAAGACCAGCCAATATCAGAGATGGCTCCTAAATTAGAAGTGGGAAATGGTCTTTATTAGAGTAATACAACATGGCCCACCTCAGTTGGAGTGGACACTGTCTCCCAGGTTGCCAAGGAGAGACAAGACTATGGAACCTGATCTGACACAGGTGGGGAAACCAGCATTGCCATCTACCAGTGGCAACTGCCAAAGGTTAATAAGACAGTGGGTTTGGTTGAGTAACTCGAGAATTACCAGGGGTCTGAAAGGCCCTCTAGTGCCACCTTGCAAACAGAACTGCTGCCCATTTATGGTTCTTGGGGTGTCTGATTTCACATATTTGAAAAGTAAAAAAAGAACTATCAGAAGTGGAGACTTTCACCCTGGGCATCCCCGGAAACTTTACCTTCCGCAGTGCCGGAGAGACCATCAGTTTTGAAGTTGCTGGTACTTTTCTTCCTTCGGTGCTTCTTTCTGTTGGCGTGAGGGGAGGGGGGCGGGTCGAGCTTGGGGCTGGTGGTGCTGGAGATACTTGGGCTGGAACACACGGAGTCGCCCAGCCCCGTGTCTGCCATTGGACCGGAAAAGGCAAAAGAATGCAAAGGGTGAGCACTTACCAAGTAGATGATGCAAAATACCAAATCAATGCTCCTCCAATGTCATACAAGGCCTGCACATAATATCCTCTCATGAGATCAACTGGATTGCAGGCCCAAATCCTCCCGTACAAAAGAACCATGGTACTCCTTGCTCCAATGAGCCACCCACTACACAAAAATGAGTATTTATTTCTGCATCACTTTCATGCTATGTAGAATTTATTATTCTCCATGTTGCATGACTGGAAAAGGAAAGTGGTGAGTTTATGTTTTTTAGTTATTTTTATCTTCCCATGACCTTGATATATTAACAAAAAAATAGAGATACTTAGAAATAGATTTGAGTAACACCTTAAATGGTTGGATTCTGTTTGTATGCAGAGCATGAGGCATTACTGATTTTCTTTCTTCTCCCCTCAACATTACATATGATGTAACTTCATTTATTTTATTATTAGTGAAAAATGGTATGCCACCTCCCATGACGTTAAGATCTGCCAATTTTTGATTCACTGAATTTTTGATTACTTATAAAAGTTTCAAAACCAGTACATACATGTGATTTTCACTGTAAGAGAGATTCCATAATTTATTATATCTATTTTTATCTTTATCAAAGAGAAGGCCAAAGTGGTATTAAGTGACCAGGAATGAACACATAATTCAACCAGAAAAGTACACTGCAAAAAAAATGATGAAGACACACAGGTGGTATATGCCTCAAAAATCTAAAAATATTTTTATTTCATAAATCAGCATCTTTATAATTCCAAAAACAAAGTTTTATACAGTACATTGCATTTCATTCAACTGATATTTTCTGAGCACCTACTGTGGGCCTGGGCTTACCTAGATGCTCGGTATCCAGCACTGATTGGGAAAAACTGACACAGCAGCCAGGCCAGAACCTAGAGTACTTTAGAAGGTGGTGTTATGAGAGACAGGACAGGAACAAAGGCTATGAAGGCTGGAAAGTTAGGGAGAGGTAGCAGGGATGGGGGAGGGTGCCACTTTAAATAGGGTGGTCAGGATAAGTCTCACTGAGATGGTGACATCTGGTGTGTTCCAGTTGGGCCTGGGTGGATGGGAGAGGCCCATAGGAGATGACACTGGAGAAAGCAGGGGGGTTGTATGAGGACCCTGGCCTGTATTCTGAGGGAAACTGGGGAGCCACTGCAGGGTTTAGAGGAGAAGGGTAACACGATTTCAAATATAAAGGTACTTGAAATCAAACTGAATTTAAAATATTTGTATTTTGTGAAATTCTAGAAAATTTTACATTTTGAGGAATGTAAAAATATACAGTATAAGCTATCTGAGAAATACACATGGCTCCATGAATGTCCGGGGATGCAAATGTTCCTGGCTGCCCTCAGACCAGAGATTCCCTTCCCAACTCTGCTGGGTCAGAAGGGTCAACTCTCACTCCATGTGCCTGACACATGAGGTGAAAGCAAAGGCCTTGGGGAGCCCCTCCTGGGAAGCTGTGAGGAACCACCCCAGAGCTCCTGCAGAACAACCTAGGCAGCACCTGATGGCACATGCCCCCTGAGACTGTGTCAATTGGGGATACTCTCTTCATGGGGAACTCTTGCTCACAAAAGCAGGAGCACCATTAAACCATTTTAAGGACTTACAGACCTGTGGCAATTTGGTGCCTCAGTAACTTTCCTTCTACCAGGCAGTATGTGCTTCCTACACATGCACATTCCATGTTCTCAGATGCAGTATCCACACAGACATGGGTTACTGTCCTCTGGTGGCAGGATGAGAGGTAACATCAGCAGCAGGGATTTGGCAGTGAGCTCCCCTGTGTGCCTCTACCCTGACTCCCCCCATTGCTGGGACTCACATCCTCTCCTCCATTCTTAGAGAAACAGGCTTCCTTCTCTTGCTAAGCCAACCTTCCAGTTTGTCCTGGCCACACTTTTCATCCCTGGGTATCTTGGCCAGTTTACTCCCACTCATCCCTCCCTCTCCATCAGCTTCCTTTCTGCCCCCTCCCCTTTCTTTCCCCTCCCCTTCCTGTACCTTTTCCTAACCCCACTATTCCTTAAAGGGTTACTTCCTTGACCTGTTAAGCCAAAAAGCTCATATAGAAGTCACTACCTGCCAGGTACTGCTCTAGCCTCTTATACTAACTCATTCAGTCCTCCAGTGAAGTATGTGGTTATATCACCCCCACTTTACAGACATGGAAACCGAGGTACAGAGAAGAGTTAAATAATTTGCCAGTCACGCAGCTAGAGTCTGCTCAGAACCACTGCAAACTTCTCCAAACGAGGTTTCTACACAGATAGGTGATTTTAATCCTGTCAGTCTCTCCCCAACTCCTTGAAACCAAGCTTCCTTCATCACTGCCTATCATTCTCCTTGTGCCCTTTTTATCCTTTATTCCCTTACCTTCTTCACTACACTGACCCTAAGATGCCATCTTTTCCTGACTTTTCTCCTCTATGTCCTGAGGGACCCTCCTTGATGTTCTAGACACCAGAATGGTCCCAGACTTGGCTCCTCAACCTGATTGTATAGACTCTCCTACCCATAGCTGACTCCCAAGAGGACATCTCTTACTCTGACCTTTCTACTCATGTGCAGCTTTCTCTGCTGTCACCTTGTGCTCCCATCCCCCAAAATGACACCCTTCCACTTCTGCCTGACTTCTGGCTTTCCAGGTCAGACATCTGGTAAACCTCCCTGGTTAACTTTACTGGAGGTGCAGCAAGCAGTCCTGAGTCCTCTCTCAGCTTGTACTGTGACTGTCTGATTAGAGCAGGGTGAAGTGAAAACAGCTTTAAATAAGACCCGACCCCTGCCCTTGGGGAGGCTGGGACTCTAAGCTCAGGTTGTTTTCACAGAGCTTCTCTATGGCTGCCTGCCCTCCATGTAAGCCCCGTTCCCCTTGGTCTGGCTGTTACCTCCCAGGTCTGGACTGTGTAGCCAATGCCAAGAGGTCGCTCTGCTTCCAGATGTTTACCTTTTAAGTTATCCTGGGGTTTTACAGCACTCGTCTTTCTAAAGTAGTGGTTCTTATACTAGATCCCATTGCATATAAAAGTTATAGCTATCCTGGAAGAAAAGGGGTGAGACTAATTAATTTGTATGTATAATTTTACACTGCTCAGAAGCTGCCAAGATGCTTGAGGGGCTTGCAGGTGGGAGGCTAGAGACCCCAAGGTCATTACCTGATCCTAAAGCAACACTTCTATATGTTATTCAAGGCTCAAACCCCTACAGTGAATATTTTTGCTCATTTCAAATGCATCCTGTCTGGGTTTCAAAAGTCTTTACCCTCTGACCCTATTCCTTCTGTTAGGTGTTAAGAACTCACTCTGTTCCAGGCATGGTGTAAGGCTCTGTGGAAACAATGGTCACTGTGACTGTTCCTGTCCTCAGAGAGCCCAACTCTCATCGTGACCATGAAGGCAGATCAGCAGAACAGGCAAACAACCACCCTTTGTGGCAGTGAGCTGCCATTTTATCCTCTCACTCTGTCCCTTGGGTGTCCTTTCAGTTCAATGGGCCATGTTCATTCCCAACTGTATGTCTTTCCGTCCGTCACTCCATGTTTGTAATGCTCTCTCCTAAACTAACACTTCTCATCTCTGAACTCCTATGGATCCCACAGTTGGGACCTTCTGCCCTCAGCTGTCAGCTCTCTAATCTAAGTAGCCTGCCTGTTCCCAGGGCAACTCAAGGTGCTCATTCCCCCGTGGTGAGTCGTGCAATGCTGAGCACAGAGTGGATGCATCATAACATCAATCCCCTTCCATCACCAGTTTTTTGTTGTTGTTGTTGGTATAAACTACTGTTTCTTTTTAACATACCTGGAACACATAAACAAGCAATCTAGTCCACAGAACAGGCTACCATAAGTGTGTGGTGGGTCTACTGCCTGACTCTCTGCTATAGTCCATTCCTCCTTTTGTCTATTTGTGTTCTAGGCCTACATTCTGCCATTCTACAATTGTCTTGGCTATTCTAGAATGTTCTGAGCATGCATCTCTATATTTCCATCCAAGTCAATGAAAAAAATATTGACAGACCCGGTCAAGATAAGAGCTTCACACCCTCAAGGGCACCAGTCTACACCTGGAAACTTCTAAGAGGGAGATCATGAAGCCCATTTACATCATATTTGTCATTGTGTCTAGTGCATATATCTTTCAACTTGTCTATGAAGAAACCAAAGAACAATCTTGTCAAATACTTTGCTGAAAGCTAGAAGAGTACCCAATTTATACTTATTTTTGACAATTTAAACAGAGTAAAAGGATGTCCATTTAATATTTTATTCTAATTTATAAACCAACCCTACTCAAACAGTTTCCTTTTCTACATGCACAGAAAGCACCCCTTTAACAATCATATTCAGAATCATACCTGGGATTAATCTTAAATTCACTGTACATGACTGAGAATTCTTGTTTCTGGAAATCAAGATCACACATGCCTGTCTATAGCCTCTTCCTCCCTTCCAGCCACAAAAAACTTTCCCCAAAATAATTGACAAGGACATGTCAATCTCATGCCAAGTTTTCTCCTTATCTTGGAATGTTTGTAATTCAGGGAGAAATTTCAGACTCACTAGGAAGCAGCCAAATGGCAGTCTTGTGAAGGGGACCATACTTGCAAGTAATGTCACCCACCTTCCCCTAAGGGACCATCAGAGCCAATCCCATCAGTATTTCCTTACATCCTTGTATTCCTGGGGCACCCTTTATCCCCAGTGCTTCTGTTCCCATGGGGCACTGCAGTTCCACAAATCCACTGGTTTTTCATCAGGAGCCCCCACCAAGGGGACATCTGGCAATGACCGTAGACAGTTTTGGTTATAAAGCTGAGTGGGGTTGGGGTACTATAAACATCAAATGGTAAAAGCCAGAGATATTAAAAAATGTCCTATTATGCACGGGACAGTTTCCACCAGACAGAACTGTCCAGCATAAAATGTCAATAGTGAGAAACC